TAAATAATAAAATAAATAATAATATTCGCTTATGATTTTTTTTTTTTTTTTTTTAATAAAAATTAAAAAATATCCAGTCTAATAAAAAGTGATTTGAATTATTTTTTTTTTTTTTATGTAATTTCAATTAAATAAAATAATTTAATAATAATAATTTTGATTTAAAAAAAAAAAAAAACTAAAACAACAACTTACTGTGATTCTTAAGATAAATTAACTGATTTTTTATTTTATTTCTCCTTTCCCCCCCCCTTCCCCCTCTCGTTTTTTGGGTTTTTATATAATTTTTTTCCCACTTCACATTTTTTTTCTTTATTTTTCCCCATTCGATCGATTTTTTTTTTTTTTTTTTATTTAAATAAAAAAAAAAAAAAAAAAAAAAAAAAAAAACCATTTTATTTGTTGTCTGTCGCGCAAGCCGCGTAATTTTTAATCAAATCGGCGATAACTTTTAATTAAAAAACTTTTAATAATCCAAAGCCCATTCATTCTCTTGAAGAAAACTATCTACAACTTCTTTCATGGCAAAATTCGGAATTAATTGATCTTGAGTTAATTTAACACGAGTAACCGGATCGAAATGACCGACCCTCTGAAAATACAAATAATAATAATAATTTTACAATTATAAAAAAAAAAAACATTTTGAAATTAATTGTATACTAATAATAATAACAAATCGAATGACTCACTTGTAAGTGTTCTTCTATGTCTTTTCTCTCATAAGTTATACCGCTAGGAGTAATTACAGGTTCTCTTAATACTTCAAAACTTATTTTACCACAAAGGAAATCTGGGACATCTCGTTTTCGACGTCGTTCATCAACTTTGGCAAACAACATGTTTAATTCTGAAGTGTTGTTATCCTAAAATAGCATTTAGAATGATAGAACAAATTTTCATTTAAATAAAAAAGCACAATTCGATTTTCACCCAACAGATTAATATTAAATATATGTATAAAAAATAAAGTCGAAACAACTCACACAACGCCTTTCACACTCCATTATTTTTTCTTGCAATTCCAATTCGTTGGTACATTCTAATTTTAATTTTTGAATTTGATTAATTGTATCATCTCTAATCAATTTATTTAAATATGATTGTAATTCAATTTCTTGTGCAATTCTCTTTTCCTCCTGAACATTCCATCTTTTTTTCCTTGCTGCTCTTAATTGACTACCGATATCATCTCCAAAATTTAACTTTTGCTCTTTAGCTAAATCATAGGCTGTCGAAATATTTTAACAAACTTATTTGATGCATTGATAAAAACATATGTTAATAATTGTATGATTTTTAGAAAAAAGTTGTACAGCATACAAACAGAGTGCAAACAACAAAATTACCTCTTTGCAAATGTTTGATAGCTTCATCGTGACTATCCATTTCTAAAAGTGCCTGACCGAGAAAAAAATGTCCCTTAACTAAACCTGAGTCAATGTCTAAAGCTCTTTTACAATCCAGGCAAGATGCTTCCCATTTTTTCATTTTCAAGTAGCAAAGAGCTCTATTTGTAAAATAAGTAGGCATGTTTGGATTTTTAATCTACAATTATAAAGATTTTGTTATAAATAAATAAATGTGTCATCAATGTGAAATCACATTCATATAAATAATAAAACAATTTGTGTATCATAATAATTAAAATTTAGAAAAATTAATACAAATGACACATATTAATCAGCCTTTAAAAAAAAAACTAAATTTACTTTTGTAAAATAATAATAATAATAATAATAATAAAAAAGAACATTAAAAAATGTGTAATTGAATTGACCTTAATAAAAATGTTTTAAAAATTCTTAAATTTCAAATGACTAATGCCAAATTTTTTTTTTTTAAATTTAAAAATATGGGGGCAATTTTTGAACTGAAAACAAATATTTCTCTTTATATTTATTTATTAAACTTTAATTTTATTACTGATTTGTATTATAATTTTTAAAATAATATATTAATTTCAATAAGTAAAACGATTAGTTTATGTAAAGATTTTTAAAAAGTTAAAATGGCTAGGGTATTCATTACGTTTAATAGAATTTAATATAAATGTACTCCAAGAATAAATTTTAAAAAATTTTGACTTACAATTGCTTTCGTATAACAATTAATTGCATCTTCATATTTCCTTAAGCTATAAAGGCGATTTCCTTGTTCTTTAAGTTCTTTATCCGTCAGATTAGCCGTAGAATACGTGTATTTGCTCATTTTAATTTATATATTTAACGAATACGAATCTTACTTGAGAGTGACATTAAGAATAATTCAACTAAAAAACAAAACGAACAAAATGAAAATACAAAAACAAACTCTAAAAATGGAAAACAAACAATTCAATTCACCACCATTTTTTTTATTTAATGGCGATAATTAAAGCTCTGTTGCCAAATTTGACAACAATCCTAGTTCATACTCTAAGAAGTTTTTTTCTCTATGAAAAATTTGTAATACGTTCAATTCCCGCCTATTGAAACCTTTTTTCAAATTTAAAAAAAAAAACAGTTGACTTTGCATTAATGGACGTTTATTAAAGATCAATAATTATTATAAATAATTAAATCATTTTAATTTTAATAATCAATTTTTAAATCCCTAAATATGGCAAAAGTTAACTCTCTAGACAATTTTTTTTGTTAACCTACTGTTTGTTACATATATTTCTTTCAATATTGTTAAAGGTCAAACATTTCATTATACAAAAACCATTTTATTTTTTATTTTTTTATAAAATAAACAAAAAAATATTAAATGTTGCTATTTTTATAAAAATATATACAACAGTTTAAAAAAAAAAAAAAATTTATAAACGCCCATTGGTAATCATTTTTTTTGTAAATCAATGATTAATAAATCACATTGATTTAATTTTAATTCATTTATAAAAATAAAAAATAAAAAAAAAACATTCACGTAACGATTTTTTTTTTTTTACATAATGAGGTTTTATTTTATTGTTTGAAAATATAATTATGTAATAAATTATCCATAATTACCCCCAATTTCCAATATTAATTTTCCTTTTTGTTAAATTTTCCATTACCAAAAAAAAAAAAAAAAAAAAGAAACCTTTTAACGAAATTTAATAATTTACTATTATTATTATTATTTTATTTATAAAAATGATTAGAGATGACATAATTTAAATTTAATTAAATTCATCATTTAAACAAAAAAAAAAAAAAAATTTTAATGTTCATGTAATCATTTTTTTTTTTTTTTATAAAGAATAAAATAAATAAATTTAAAAATTTTTTTTTTATTTTTTAAATGACATAAAAACCTTTCGAGCCTTTCCCAACTGATCCTATTGACCCATTTTCCTTACATTTAAACTTTTACTTTTTAAATTAAAAAAAATTTTGAATTTTTTTTGGGGTTAAAAATCTCATTTAAAATTATTATTAAAAAAAAACGTTGAATTTTCCCTTTAGTTATATACGAATAAAAAATAAAATAAACTCGAAATTTCGGTTTTCTTTCTTTCTTTTTTTTTTTTTCTCGGGGGGAGGTTCGGGGGGGGGGAGGGAAAGGAAAATTTTTCTTCATCGTCATGCGTTTTCCTGCAGGCACTCTTATGTGATTGCGCGTTAGCATTCAACTAAAAAACGAATTTAGTTAAATTTTTCGTTTCACGGACTAAAGTTTTTTTTTTCTTTTTTTTTCTGTTTTTATGTTTGTTTAAAAAATTTTCTTTTTTTTTTTTTTTATTAATTTTAAATATTTTATCACATAATTATTTAAATTAAATATTTATATATATCTATCGTTATTTAAAAAAATATATCATGAAAAAAAATTTTTTTATATATATAAAAATAAATATTTATTTTTATAAATAATACATATATATATATATATATATATATAAATATTTTTATCGAAATCGATTTGTGTGCGCATTTTGTGAGTGCTCGAGTTTTTTTTTTTTTTTTGTTATAATAAAAAAAAGAAAAACTGTTCGATTTTTCCGTGTTTTTTTAATTTTATCTCTCGTTTTGTTGTTTTCTATCGGAAAATGATTTTAAGTTAACAACTTTAAACAAGATACGTTTAAAAATTTTAAATTTATTTGGATTTTTTTTTTTTTGAATTAAATAAACTAATAATAAAATGTTTGTCGCGGTTATAATTTTTTTTTCTAAAAAGGTATTATTATTAATAATAAATAAATAAATATTCTCGAAAGTTATTAAACATCACACATTTTACATACGTGATGACGTAACAAACACACATACACACACACACATCATTATTATTATTAATTATTACGTGGATTTTAAATTGATAGAAATTTAAATTATTAAAAAACCATATTAAAAAAATTTTTCTTTTTTAAGTATTTATTTAACAAACGATGAAACGAATGAACAAACGAACAAACGAACGTACGAACGTTATAACTTGAACGTTTAAGATCAATGAAAAAAAAATAAAATAAAATAAAAAATATTAAAAAAAAAAAAGGTCAATATCCAACAAATGTAAATAAAAATTAAAGTTTTCCTTTTTTATTTGTTTATTTATTTATTTTTATTTTAACGAACGATGATGATGATGATGATGATGATAATAATAATAATAATAATCGGGAAAAAAAAACCGGATTTATTTTTATTAAATTTTTTTTTATTAAAGCGGTTAAAAACTAATAATGTTTTTTTTTTTTTTTTTTTTTTTTTTTGATAAAAATAATTTTAAAAAAATTAATTTTATCGCATTGAATTACTCTCGAGTCTTATTTAACCCCTCCCTCCTTCACCTTCCCCTTTGTATATTTTACCACCCTCTTCCGTCTCTCGTCTTTCATTTCATCCCTTTTTTTTTTTTTTTTATTCACCTTTTTATACAATTAATAATCAAAACAATATATATTAAATTACCAAAAGGGATCAAAACCATTATTTAGAGGGATAGAAAGGGGGAGGGGGAGAGAATGAACGTAAATACGTAAGGGATGACGTGAAAATTATTAACCCTTAACGATAAAAAAAAAAAAAATTCATTGAAAATTATGTAGGAACGATTTGATACGGCATAATACGGGGAAATTATTATTCATTTTTTTTTTTGGGGGGAGAGGGTTTAACTTGTCCTACGTCTGCATTTACCCTTTTATTCCCACCTCCACCCTCCCGTTTCTCTTTTCCAACAGGTTTTTTTCGTTCACCTGCCTTCATTTTTTTTTTTTCTATTAACAACCTTCGAAAAATTCTTCAACAGTCGTCGAATTGAAAATTCGATCAATAGCGTTAGAAGAACCTTGAGAGAGATTTAAATCCGAATAAAATTACAGACGTTTTTTTTTTTTTTTCACGCCTTCTGCTCCACATATACACGCACACCCACACACACTCTTCCTTCCTTTTCCTATTAAATTTTTATCTTTTTCAATTCTTTTCCCTCACCGCAAATAAAAATAATTCTAATTTGTTTTATTGAATATTTATGTCACGATTTGTGGTTTCATCATCATTATCATTACCATCATCATCATCACCATGACCATCATCATCATTTTTTTACGTTTTCTTTAATTATAAAAAAAAAAAAAAAACATTTTTAATAATTTTTTTTTTTTGGGCGAATTTTCTTCAGGTTACTTACGATGATGACTTTAATTAAAATTTTTTTTCAATTTCATACGAATGAATAAATTTATTTTAATATTAATAATAATAATAATAATAATATTTATAAATAATGATGATGATACGAAAGGACAATTTTTTCTTTTTATATTTTTAAAAGGTTTTTTTTT